ACGATTACTCTATTGACCACTATTCACGTATGTTACATGTTCAGAATCGTAATCATCGATGAAGGATGAATAAACGTTCATAGTGTGAACAATACAAGTGGTGTTGTAATGTATGGAGTGTTTCTACTCCAAGTTGATGTTCAGATACCTCTCACTTTATTTTAATACAAGCTATATAATAATCTTACACTTAAATAGATAGAAAAAATCAGAAATACGTGAAGATAACGATTCTCACTTGCTGAAACAGTCGTGTGACATTACGATGACATATTACGATGATAATGTCAAGCATTAAACCTCATAAACCATGGAATCATGAAATCCGTTGGCATTAGATTACTTGGCGGACAGTGCCTGTGAGATTGGCAATAATCACTAGAAAATGATATTAACGGAAGATGATTTGAACTCAAGTGCTTTCCTGTGAAATAGCTGTCATCTAACGCTAAATTTTATGTGATTGACTTCAACAAATCCTCAACTAAAGTGTTAATATATCCATCTGATTCTCAAAACTTAGATTAATAATTTAGAAAATTCATTGTGAATTGTATAATAATTTCTAAAAAGGACTACAATTCACAGTGAAGTTTTTTCAATGATGAGTTTAATAAAGTAGCCGCATACATTTTCAAGTTATAATTTGAATCATGACCAGAAATATTACACGCAGTACTTAAAAGTGTTCTTTTTTGTAGACTGATGTACCAATCATACTCAACAATGGGTAACATGAGTAGAGTGATATTCATCTGTGCATCTCATTTTACGTTGAAAAGTTCAACGAATAAGACAGTGTGAACGGTCTGTTTAGGATACTATGTTTACACAGAATGTTTACAAGCAGACATTCACCTGGTGAGAGGAATGTGAAGTTGAAACATAAACAGACAGTAAATCACTTGACACAGTGAATTCAAACGTAAAACACTGAAAACAACTTTGAGATATTCCTACCATAGTTATAAGTTGAAAACCATTCCAGAATGCGTATGAGCACAGGTAGGTTTTCAAAGATGTGATTACATAATGGAAATGCTGAGAAGTTGGGTGAATTGTTTCTTTATGAAAAGAAAGTAGTTTAGTGTTTTTTAGATAGAAACACACAGATAGATTTATTATATATACGTTAGGTATTTAATAATGAAATTGTGTTATTTCGTCAGGTTATGAGTGTAAGTGGATTGAAAATTCGGATGGTGTCTGAAATGAATAAAAGTGACGTGTTATGGTCTCAACGCAAGAAGCCAATCTCTACATTGGATCGCAAAGCTGCACACAAATTTCTTCAACGACAGTAACAGACAATTCTTTACAACATAATTAATGGCTGGAAAGGGACATGGGAAAATACTCAGTATGGTTAGAATAAAAATTGTTGAGTCTATTCAAATTGCTACCCATGATGGGAAAATTGATCATACAAATAACAAACATATTCATTTCTGCTTTGGCGACTTATCAACGGTCCAATGCTAATATTATTTTATTTTTGTTTACAGGTTGATTCCACACCGTATTTTTGGTACAGGTATGGAATTTTCAGCATGTGATATCAGTAGACGAAATTTTGCAGTCCAACCATAGATATCGGGTGTGCGTCGGCAGGGGATCGAAACCCGGACTATGTGCATGGTCGGCGAGAGTCCTAACCACTGTGCTACCGACGCACAGAAAAAATCAACGGTCCTATGCTAATATATCCAGTTTGACATAAAAATAATACCAATCATGTTGTTATGTCAGTGAAATTACGGGAAGTGGAAATAAATACGGAATTCTGGACGACTCAGTTAACAGAGGTTAGCAACAACGTATTATGCAATAGAAAGATCAGAATGTTATGAGTTCATTGTTCATCATTTCGTGAATTTCATACCTATTAGGACGAGGAGAATGATGTCACAAAAGTCCGAAGATGCATATATGATCAGCAGATTCAAGAAAATGAAAAAAATCTGTTGTGTTATCACAGTATTGATTATCTCTGAAAAAAAAGTTGGTTTTGAAGGATCACTTGTCGTCAAGTTAGATGAATGTATGATCCATCTTTAGAGAACTACGATTACCCTGTGAGGATTCAAGATGATCTTATTAAGTGAAAGGGCACAAATACTTTTTTGATTGTCAAATGGCATACACGGATTGAAACTGTTTCATGCTGCCTATATCTGAAATTCTTGTCCACGAAATTGGAAACCTATCACAGTTCGAGGTCTTTGATCACGTCATACGCACACATGGTCAGGGAGTGTAATACAAATGAGATGGCCTTCATGCAACATTATAAACACAGTCAGCATAAGAAAATATTATTTGCAGTGGCCAGTAGATGCTTGAGGTTTATTTGTGTTAGTAGACGTAATGTGATGTGAGCTACTTCTGAGAAACTTTAGAAAAGAATGGCGCTTGATAAATATTCAATGAAAACAATGGTCGATATAACATTCAGTGGAGTGTGGATTGAATCTAGACACTCCATACACGCATACACAATAAAAACTTTTGTGAATCCATGTTATTTCTCTACGATCAAAGTTCAATGAAACTATTTAATTAGAAAATTTTAAGATCATATATAAATAAACATTTAATTTGATTTTACAACATATAAAATTTGAAACTGCAATAGGTAAGTAGTGTCATTAGCGCTATTATGATGAACTTCATAATCGGTACTGCCAAAATGCTAATACACTTGTGTAAGAGAGCTGGCAATCTAAGAAAGGTCACATTCACAGTGCACATAACAAACATTTGATTGTAAATCCAGACTTCCACAAATCTCACTGTCATACAGATTCTTGGTGTCATATATTTGTATATGGATATGCCTTATATAAATAAATACATTTCCACCATTATCCATCATATTTCTGAAAACAGTATGTCAGTTGATCTAACAGTTTGATGTTCCTACATGACAATGACTGACAAGAATACATGTTTCTTGAAACCGCAGAAATCAAAAGCACCTATGTGGTCAGGATAATGTAAAAAAGATTGTTGTTAGCTTCCTTCGATGCCTTTTTTCGACCATGCAGAAATGTATGTCAAGGATACACACTGATGAGCTGTTTGATTTCTATCAAAGCCAACAACATATAGGATGAGGTGAAAGGGATTGGACGAATAAATGCGCTGACTGAAAATGTTGTGATCTACACAGAGTGAACTGGAATTCGCTGACATTCACGATAAAGTATGTGAATATCATCGCTAAATTATTTATTCAGTCAGTCAACACCTTTTGACTCAAAAATACATTGCATCCTTCTAAAAATGAATTTATTCAGCTAATTCATGAGTAATTTTTCCACGTCTTTTTTTGTTTGTTACACAGTTGATCCGTGTTCTTTTTGCCTTAATGACAGTAACTTAAGGAAATATTTATTTATTGAGTACTAAATTTGCATCAACTAGCCGGCGAAAGTATTTTTACTTTCATCATTATTCGTGAATTATTTGCAGAGAAGGAAATATGCTGGAGCAGTGTTCAACATTTCTCAGTTTGAAAGAATCGCCTTTTCATACAAAAATAAGCCGATATCTATTCTACTTTATTTGGGTAAGCAAACACAAATCCAATATTCAGTGTTCCTATAATGTTTTTATTGCAGATGTTAGTCGATATATTGTGTTTTGTTTTGGGGACTGTATGCATGGTTTTAATGGTGAGAAATTCGTAAGGCGTGAAATTGAGTATAATAAAATATTAATAATCTTTTATGCTGTAGAGAAATAATCACTAATTGGTTTGTTGATCATACTAGAGCGACTGGTTTGTTCGTGTAAGTCAATGTTTTTCTAGATATTTTTGACTGCTGCTGTCTTTTCTGGATCTTTTGTTGATAACATGTATCTTCGGAGTAGAACATTGTCACAGCAACTACTGAGACTCAAAGTTTCACTAACAGTGCTGTTGCTTATGATGTGTGCAAATCAAACGCATAACATTTCCTCTTTTCTAGCTACTTAACTTACCTAGCCCACGGACGAGCCTGTCGTTCAGAAAGCGATTCGGACTATGTGCGTTTGTTTGACTAACAGTCTATCACTGAACCACTGAGGCTCATTCGATTTCACTCCATACATTACTTCGTTCAGAACTTTGAACTGTCATTTGTCTTTATATTGTGAATTTTATGTGGTAAACACCGTCAACATATGCATCTTAACATTGATCACTGTGTCGTCTGCTGACTGCATTGTCACTGATGCAACGAATACTAGTAAGTAATTCAACATTACGAATTTATGATTTCTGCACTCTCTGTGTTATCGTCTGGATTTCACATCTGGAAACACCTGAAATCATGGAGTTATTCACTCAGTACCAAGGAATAATCAATGTGGATAGAGCCACCAATGAATGTGGTGGTCCGATGAGGCTAGGAAACATAAAGACACATAAGAAATGACAACATTCACATCAAACATAGTTCTCAATCCTACTTAGTTATCTTTATGAATAATAGCTTCATTCTGGACAAAAGTAGTTACGCAACGTACAGAATTCACAGTGTATTATATATATATAAAACTTTCTCTCCATCCAGGGTCCTACATTAAAATAGCAACACAAGGTAACTCATGTGACGCAGTAAGATAATCTTGTATGTTACGTTTATATCCGTTTTCAGGAAATGCACTGAAGTTTATCGAAAGCCATTTAAAAATGTGCGTAAGTAAATTTGTCCAGAGACAGACGTACTCCATTGTTTTGTGCATTGTTTCGAATAGAAAAATAGGTAGCTCAATGATTAACGCACAACATCGTGCAATTCTTTGGATATTATCTCTACGTGAAGTAGTGATAAGCGTCCACTATAACGTAACTCATTGACTTAAGACATATCTTCTCTCACTTTGGTCGTATGGTTAACTCCGTTTCTATATAACTACCTACTATCTCCTTGCCGTCGTTATTACTGTGTTGAATACGCAAGCTGTAATCATCATTATGCTGACGTGTACAAATTGCTTTTCAGATTATCTGGAATACTGACAAATATACTTCTCATATTAGTCAGGAAATTTAAATACGAAAATGTGGTTGATCATCTTCTGATCGTAATCAGTGTAAGTGAGCTCACTTCATTTTCACGTATTTTCCCCCGCCATTCTCTAGATAGACTTTTTTTCAGTTCATTGAACAGAGAGCACAAACGACTTGAAATTGCTGTATACATGTGTTCTGTTGATTTCAGGCTGTAGATGTGTGTCACTTTGACAAGAAAATGTCACACAGGTTCAACATATTTAGTGAATAAGAATCAAGTGACACATATCTCCTTGAATCTTCCACTAAGCTTGACTGGCGCAACTTATGCAGCTCCAACAGGTCAGAACTGAAGTCAGTCTGTTAGATAGCCAGTTCATATTGAAGAGGTTTTGCACTTGTAGTGACTCAATCAATTTCTAGTTAGATTAAGCTGTGTGTTATTAAATACATCACAGAATGAGGCAGTATCTCCATTGGATAAAATTGTGTTGTCCTTGAAATACCAGATTTCATGCCTGCTGTGATTTGAGATCTTCTGTGATGACATTTATGAAATCAATGATAATGTCAGGCAGCTATTCTGTCATTTGACTGTGTTAAGAACTAGTTGATTTGAAGTATTTGCACTGAGGTTCTTGAGAAATAACACATTCATTACATGTAATGTTCCTTATATCGCAGAATATAACTTCGAAAAACGTATTGAGGATGTTGTGCCGTATACTCACTGTCACGTAATGTCAGTGGTGGAAGCTTTCAATTATATATTTCCTATCCTAGACGCATATGACAGTATTATTGGATTGAATGGAATAATATCAGTTTCGACAGTTGATCAATTCCGTTGTATGCGACTCACCATTGAACTGATATGTTTAAATTTACGCATTCGTAAATACGACTTACTATTGCAATTTTTCATTGATTTTTAGTATCTACTGATCTCTTTTGGCTTCGCGGGTGCGTTTCTGTATATTCAGGTGTTTTGCTCTCTCATATCTCTCCTTGTCACAGTAGTGGTCAGTGCGATTGTGACATTTTTGGGTTTGCTGTTCAGAACTGTCAAGATGGAGTATACTGTGATTATCTTCAGTATTGGATGTGTTTTCGCCGGAATTGGAATTCTCATGTCCATTTTTCAACACTTTTTTCCTGATAAAGAAGTAAGTTTTAAATACAATTCAATTATGAGATATAAATGAACAGTTTGTGTCACAGCAAAGAATTAATTGATTTGTATCAACACATGCATTCAATGAATATTTTTAAAATTCACAAGTATTGACTTATAAACTTGGAGTAATGCAGGGAAATACGGTTCTTGAATGATCATTTTTTTGGAAATCACAGTTCCGACTTTCGTCAGCTATTCTTGCACATATTAAGTGTTGAGAATGCGTAAACTGTCAGTCATCGATAACCGAAAAATTATTATTTTCAGCAAAACGTTTACTGGAACGCGGTTTTGTGAAAATACATTGCTCATAGTCATATTCATGTGTAAATAGGCCACTTCGAAATTGCATATTGGTTTGTCTATTAGATATATCACTGAATGAGATTTTGAACAAAACTTATTGTTTAGTTTGATATCAATTTTAATCACATGACTTCGGAACTTGAGTTTCATATTTTTCTGTGTTCCCTCCTACTTATCGTAGGGGAAGTAGAATTTCCTAAATATCTGAGACAGGTTGAACCATTCCACGTGTTTACAGTTGATTCGATAAACAAGGCTTCTGTTTCCAATCTCTCCCATCGCCCTGTTACATCAGATTTTATAACTGTCATCCTATCCCATCCTATTGTATGATTGTGTGTAATTGTATGTAATGCGTGGTGTGGCTGAACTATTCTCTAGATTTCTTATCTTATTGGGGTCAACCAATCTAGATTTTGCTTGGTTTTAATGCTCGGCTAGTCTGACTGAATCTGTTCTACTACTGTGACCAATATATTTGACCTGAATATCATTGCAGGTAGGGTAGTGGATGAACTAAATTGTTTTAAAGGCTCCACAAGATGTTTTAATTGACAAAGCTTGTTCCTGATTGAGTTTGTGAGTTTGAATGCAATTTCTATTCCTGCATTGTTAACGCTATAATTTAACATTGAAAACTCCTCTTCTTGACTTTCCAATTCATAAGTTAATTGAATTGCCTCCTTCTTTTGAGTTGTTGTGTTACAAAGATCTATCTGTCTCCTGTGTTCTAAGTGCAGTGAATGTGTCATCTACACACCTCTACCAAACTATTTATGGGTGGGGGTTATTTCACAGGGATAGAAATTGATAACAGAAGCTTTGCTTATCGAATCAATTCTTATTTGAATGTCACTTTTATTCCGGTCTTTTTAAGAGCTGAACGTAAGATTTTTAGAGGTCCTCTCTTTGTATGACAACAGTACTGTATATTAATATTTTTTCTTCTGCGAACGTTTGTACTTTATGTTGCCCTTATAATTACAATTGATTTAATCCTCACATTGATACAATCCAATACTGGAATCTACACATCAAATAAAATTCAAGTTTGTAAGTTGTGCATTAACAACAATAAATCAAGTTCAAAATGTCATTCAGCAGACAACATAGTTTCACTCTGTGATATATGCAACAAACAAATTAATAAGGCAACGGTGGTTCAGCCTGCACAGGGTGGGGCTGTAAGCCTGTCTCTCGGCCTTCACCTTCCCGCTTGTCAGATATCAGCTAGTTGTGGTTTAGTTGAACGCTTAGCGGGAACTGTATGCGGAAAGCTTGTGCATGTTAGGTGAGCTTTATTCTATTTCACCACCAGTACATGTTAATATTAAATGTTTTGAGATGCAAGGTGCTAGGACTCGAAATTTGTGCATTTCTGAATTCACTGTCACTGCTAGTTACAAAATAACTGCTAACACCAGTCCTGGAAGCTTTTTTTTTAAATTTATTTTCCTGTTGTCGAGTAGGTTTGATACAATCTTGTACTAAGTACTGAAAATCCTTCACTGTATCATAATACGTTTTCAAAATTAAGTAAATCGTAATTATTAAAAACATATTTATGAACTACTTCAGCTCTGTCTGTGAGTCTAATCTTAGATTAAGTCAGAGATTTATAAGGGTCGCCTATCCTCCATAATTTTCTCACAGTGTTGATTTCTACTCATGGAAAAGAATGGAGACATGATTTTTTAAGTGTTTGTTAAAAGTTAGAAATAAAGTTCCTTTTATTCAGGACATTGTTTATAAACCTTAGCAGAAACAATCTTAAACTATATAGTGGAAATTTTAAGATTACTAAGATGTCAGAATATACAGGTTTCAACTTTAGTCTATTTAATGATATTTAAGCGAAAGAATCCAGGGGTTAATAAGGAGCATCTCTCAATAATTCCTCCTCTGTAGTATCCCTCATCTGGTCATTTAATCTTTATTTTTGAATGGAGATGTACATTCCCTTCACATTCTCCGAATTCTGAGAAATTATTTTATTGCAATGGCAACCAGGCAGCCAGAGGAAATAAGAACACTAAGGGTGACTACACATGTTTATCCTTCATGTTACTCAAGTAGAAATTGTTGTATTTCCGGAAAATTGTGCAGATGATCTAAAGAAAAGTCTGCTTTGTCTGAAAGATAAAGACAATGTTCTGATAGAACAATGTGTTAATTTTAACTTTAAACGAAAAAAAGCTTTACTGAGTAACGCGGTTGCTGTCTACAGCAGTGAAAATATTTGACATATGCAAGTGCTCCTATCGCGAGAAAGTTTGACGATAATTGTGTTTATAGAATCAATTCGATAGTAAAAACGGGAATGAAGCGAAACTCATCATGCATCCTTATTTCAGTAGTGCAAAGAGGTGATTTGAGTACAATGCATATACAATTATTTTACCTGGTCTATTCCTCGTCAATCGCATTTGCAAAATCATTTTTCAACGTATTTGTGTAATAAGCATACTGTCAGCTAACAGAAGACTGTAGGAATAATAGCCAGGGCTCAGCAGTCACATATGAAATGTTTATACATAGAAGTCTGAATGACAACTCAGGAAACGAAATTAAACACTTTGAGAAGAAAGCGTTGTGTAACAAAACCAATGGACTGGACTGGTTTCAACATGGAAATTTGCAATGATGTACACAGTTTAAGTCGCTACACTCCATGTAACACGCAGAGAAAGAGAAGAAAGAAAAAAGGTATGCAAAATAGAAACAGTAAGCAGAGATATGAGATAAAAAGAATACTATCAACAAAGAACAATATAGTTTCACTGGATATGATAAATCACAAAGAGTGAATGCATCTGCGCCAGCCATTGAGATCGATTTCAGCCATTTAACGAAATTTATGCAGTCCTACGTGGTTCTTAACATCTCGAGGGACCCAACTAGCAAGATAGTCTTAATCACTTCACTTTGCCGGCTTAAACACACTTATATGGATTTTATTAAATGATTGCACGTTTTGAATTGACCACCCCTAGCTGTTTTCCAACCCGATCCATCGTATGTCAGCTCACATCGTCCGTCGGTCGAGGAAGATTATCGCTCGGTATGCGTGATGCATGTTCTTACCATCTCCGTAGGTGTGACTGTAGTGAGAGCTGTCTGCTAACCAAATTGGTAGACAGCAATTTTGCGTCAACGTGTACGTCCCAAATCTTGATCATGAGAAAAGAACAAGGACTAAATCAACAACCAAGTACAACGGACTTTGCGTAGGTGGATATGAATCGCAGATATGTGGTCTGACCTTCAAAGAAACGGTCACAAAGAGATGACAGAATAACATTCAGCAAGAAAACAACCAATCAGAAGACACTATTTCTCTGCTAATAATAACGAACAATAATAATATACATAAAAATATATAAATATCTTTTTGTACGTAAATAATAAAAAGAATTTGAATCTGTATAAGCGTGATGGGAATTAGATCCAAAGTTAAACGATTTCACTGTATTCTTTTCAAAAAACAACTGGTTTTGCTTGACATATATTCATACTCTGGATAACTTATGTATTCCAATTAAGAATTTTATTAATTTTCTGTATGAAGGTATTATCATTTGGAGTTTTTTTTTATTTTGGAAATTCCAGATGGCTTTCAAAATAGTCACTTCCATTTCCATGACTTTCTTCGCAATATTAGTAAGTTTAAGTAGTAATATATTTGCTAAACACTGTTGGTGTAAATATTAAGGCCCTCTTTTTATATGTATAGGTGGTTCATCAAAACTTTGTTGTCTTCAGTTGAGTTAGTCCTTCCTCTTTTTTTCATTTTGTTGAATCTCAAGTTCATTCCATAACAGGGAGTGTACATATTCGATAAGATTATAGTCATCTTAATCCAACTAGTGAAATAGTAGTATACATCACGTTGATGAAATAAAAACGAATACCATGTGTATCAGCGACATTCGCATTCACCAGTCATCGTTTTGTATTCACACTGCTCGGAAATAGGAATTTTGATGTTATAGATAGACATTTTTCAGACAAAATCAGAAGAATCTAATTGTTTGTCAAATTACGTTGATCATAGACTGTTTTAACGCCACAAACTTCACTAAAATGTGTATGTAAGTAGTGTCATGAGTGCGTCGGTGGCACAGTGGTCAGGACGCTCGCAGGCCATGCACATGGCCCGGGGTTCGATCGCCGGCCGACACACTCCTTTACCTCGCTAAGGCAGAAATAAACCTGGTATAGAGGAAAGGTTGGGCATGAGGCTAACCACCCCATCCTGTAAAAACAAACATCACTGCTACCGAAACTTCAAGCCTCTAGCTTGAAGCCCCATCTCCCACTGGGGAACTTGAAGGGAAGAAAAATAAAAGTAGTGTGATGAGATCAGTCTTTTAAGATTGAGCAGTAGCGATAGTGGTTATTGAAGCGATTCATGATCTGCATTCGATCAGCACTCAGTCAGGTTAATTGTTCAGCTTATGCAGTGATAATAATCCAATAAAATAAAATCACATATGGGTAGCAGTTGAATCATACGGAGGTTTCAAAACACAGACAGAACGACGAATCCACTAGATAGATGTGATGGATATCTTGCAAAATCATTAGTGTTGACAAACGAATCTGGGACAGGTGATCATATTTCCAGTAACCCTATTGTAATATTTTTCTTTTTTAAGGGTATGTTGTATACTAAAAATAAAATTTAAAAAGTTCTTCATTATTTCCGTCTAACTTTGAATTGTTCTATCTGTGACATTTTATAAACACAGGTTGACAGATTAGGTGAATATTTAGTAGAATAATGAGTGCCTTCAGTACAGGAATGAATTAAAACTATTCAAGTTTCAACATGGATGACATGAGTTAGAGAAGCATTGAGATCCAAGTAGAAATGAACACCTGCTACGTCTTAGCTTGTTACTCCTTAGTAATACTCGGACATGAACCCACCGGTGGCAGAAAATTTAACATCTGATGTTCAGTAGAAATTGACTGCAGGACGATGTTAAATGCAGCTCTAGTGAAAAGTCGTGAGAAATGTAATCCAACAGCTCCAGTGTTGAGCTAAACACTCGCCAATGACACTATCAATATAATTCACGAAAGCTTAAAAGACAGGTATCATAGGCCACTGTAAATGATAAAAGTCACTGAATTGTCAACAGGTTCCCCTCGTCACCTGGTAGTCCTTGCTTCCACTCCTGATAGGTCTTGAATGCGTACAGAGGAAGAGTCTCAAACTGCGGCGAAACAGCTGTCCAAAACTATCTGATTTTTAGTGGTTCTCCGAGTAATTTTAGTGCGTGATCACAATTGAAACAGATTAAATTCCGACAAACTAACAATCTATCCAATTTATTTTATTCTCATAAATTTTCTAATATTTCAGTGCATTTTCCTGACGATCAATCGAATGAGATTGTGCGTCTCATATAATGTATTTTATTGTTCAATAATATTTCGAGCATTCTGTATGTGGTTAGGAATGCTCATAATGTTCACATCAGTTTATAACTTCCAGGATGCTGTATCTCAAAAGTGCAAGAAAAAACTTCCTGACGATGTATATTGAAATACATAAGTACATCTGGTATGTGTAGTTTTCAACTTTTGCAGCATTTCGAAATAAAAATTAGACTGATAAAACAGCAAGCCCGTCATATGCATCAGACTAAACTGGCATCACTCCATGTAGCATATTTAAATCAGTCATGGACTGCGAAAGGTTATAAAGTGACGATTTTAGCTAAGAACTTTAAAATGCAGTATAAGATAATTGCGAAATTCATGGACTAATTGTTATAAAAAGTTAATTGTAATCAGATGGAGAATGACTTATTCTAGAAAAGTACCTAAGATGAATACATTCAGACATTTTGGAAATCACTGAATATTTTGTGTATATTCGTTCGGATAAATTGATCTGAATATCTTTCCAATAATGATGTCCAACTGTACCATGGCTGGGGGTCTGGGCATTTGCGTTTTCGACGAATTTCAGGTGACAATTTTTCTTGAATTCTGTCTCTTTAGCAGAAGATCTTAGAGGATCTTTCTCGTTCTAAATTATGGAAAGTATAGACCGTAAGCCAAAGACACATCTCCATACACTTGATTGCATACTGGGCTTATCCAATACATATGTAGACGCCGAAATAAAAGCATTTATGTGTGAGTATAGAAATATTGTGAGTAGACGTATTGATTTATTGTTGGACACGAATCAGTTCTCTTCTGGGTTAGAAAATTTAGGTAAGATAATTCAAAGAAAAATCATCCAGCTCTGTCCACCAGACTGAATTATATACAAGATTCCGATGACAAAATCTGAAAATCTTTGAACCGATTCATGATCAGATAACTATTCACTTCAGGGAATCTTCAGGATCAATTAGAATATCCTGAAGAAAGCAGAAGGCGGAATTCAAACTGAAACTAAAAATAGGGAGGAACAGGAAAACGTGAAAAACATGCAAAATCCATTATCGGCAAAAAGCCTGTGTAGAATAACCATGTTATCCTCCGAGGGGACTGTCTGGAATAGATATCAAAAATATTAGGAACGAAGTATTCTTATATGGCCATATGAATGGGCAGACAGGTTGAAAGACAACGAAAGACATCATATGAGTCAGTGTTTTCGGCGTCATCTGTGAGCTCCACCTTTGGTCCTTATGTAAAAACACGGTCAATTCATGAAACGTATGCAGCTTCACGCTAACAAGTCAAAACGCTGATTTCACACTGTAAGCACGTGAAATAAATAATAATCTCAGTTATTTTTCTCAAGTACAGCAAATATTCGCCTTCTCAGTCAATCTTCGTGTCTCTCCCACTGTTGAAAAACTACTGAAGTGATTAATCGTAACAGTAGGAACGGAAACAAATCCAGTATTATCCTGTTCGCAATGAGTGCACTGACTTGGGCTGTTTGTATGAAAAACGATACACGTTGCTGTACAGATCTTCAGCTCGGCGATTAGTTGTTTGCAAACTGGTGCCATGAAATTCAAGAAATTCGTGGTCATTTTAATTGATCAACATTTACAAGTTGACTACGAAAAGCAACACAAAACACAGATTCGACAGTTAATCTCAAGTCTTTGGAGAAAACAGATGTCATTACTGTAATTTTATTAATTGATGCCAGGACCGGATGCAGTCGTCAAAGAAGCAAGAGTGCAACAGCAGATGGCAAGCCACGAAAGCTAAGGTGATCAAACCACTATATATATCTATACAGTTTATATTCTTTAACCAATCACTAAGTGTGTGATTTCGATTTACATTTAATGGCTTGAAATAGAATGTTCAGATACATGTATAATTATGTTACTAATCTAGTATTCAACTACGGGAGGAGTATTCAGACGTTGACACCGACAAATACCATGATTCTTACTGTGAGAATATTATTTTGATGGAATTCATTGTCTGTATTGCACCAGCACAATAGAAACGGATCAAGAGACATCAGTGGACATACACACCACAGCAGAATGTGTGGAAGGAACGAAAAGTATCTGTCGATTGGACAAGAGGCAGCGTAGTCAGACTGCGAAAGGAGGCTTACTTAGGTTTCTACGAGAACTGGATGGGTAGATCACGTCTAAATCGAATGCCAGATAGTGTCATTAACTACCGGTTGCGCTATAAACCAGACAGCACTGACAGAAGTGAGAGATTACGGGTCACGGGATTCCGTCTTAGTGACCAAATAGTCAACAGACTCATCTCGTAAACTGAAAACCTGAAATTGAATACTCGACGGCTTAATGGAATAATAAAGAAAATTCACACTTTTAACATACTGAACAGGTCCTAGTCACCTCCAACAAGATGCTGCCTAATCCCGAACTTGAAAGCGATATGTAGCCTAAATTCTACGCAAACAAATTCCGAAATCTGTAGCATTCTTTCTTCTATGAGTAACCGGAGGCATGATTGTGTAAACTGGACAGAAATTTACTTTACGAATGATACCTTTTGTCACTATTCAGGTCCTACTGTTTACTTACTTGAAAAATACCATTAAGCGCGCCTTTAGTCAAATCAATTTTAACAATAGTTTTTAATGGTACTTTATTTGCGAAAAACATGATGAATCGATATTATGTTTGACTCCGTTTGTCTTAATGAACAGATGGACTTTGTTCCATGCTCATTACAATTTGTTCAGAAATCAATGACAACTTTGTTTTCAGGTGATGAAAATGTAGACACATAGTCTGTTTTTGTTCAATTCATCACTCTCGACTTATCCATAAGGCTCGTCAAGCTCCTTACTTTGAACGATTTTAAACTCTGTACTTTACAATTACTCAAAATATTTGTCAATAAATGTTAGTAGTTACAGTAAATCCTGATTTTATGTGCGAATTCAACAGATTTTTCGTCTCATCGAGAGAAGATGCATAGTCTAACGGTAGATAAATAAAATCTGAAAGACACGACTGTCTGTTACGCATATACTTTATAATAACAGCATTATTAACTTGAAATTAGGGCTATTCAGTGTGCGTCGTATAACGAATTTTATGACTAACAGTATTAGTAAGTACAGACAGACACCGTACTTCATGACAACATAGCAAAGATTCAAATTACATTAGAAGACAAAACTCATCTAACACACCATGTCTGGTTGGTGAATGCTC